GTATTCTAAAGTAATGCAAATAACTGATAAATAAGTAAAAACTTACCTGGGCATAACCCCGGCACAGGTGCTGTAACAAAGATGCCGACGGCGTCTATGCTTAAGCCGGGGATTAGGTCGGTAATTAAAAGGAAAGAAAGGGATTCTTTCCAGGTAGCCTTAATAAAGGCAGGTAGATTTTGCTCGTTGCAATCACTTTACCTCACAAACAAGCACGTCTGCTCAGCTCGGCTGTTCGCTCTGAACTGCTCTAACTGGTGATCTAGTGTTTACACTGTTTACATATTAGGTATATGTTTTGTGGTGACTGGTGACGGTGTTTACTGTTTACTGATCTGTGATCTAATGGTTGTTAACCTTCTCATTTGTGGGAACATTGGGATTTATTTTAATCATTTATTTACTTTCTCCTTACCATTAAGCTATGGTCGTTTAAATAGTCAAAAAACTTGGTTCCTTTTATACTTCCAGATGTTATCCAATTTAAGTAATATTTTAAAATTAATGGTGTTGATTATATTAATTTTGAATTAGTTTTAGATTATTTCAAACAATCGAAATGTATATAGTATTTTTAGTTTTTGTATTATTTTTGCAAGTTCTATGTGATAATTATTCAACTATTGATTTACCAGAAGATCATTTGCCATATTATTTTGCAAATTCTCCTAAGGTAGTAGAAAGATGTTTAAACGATAATGACTGTCCCTATAAACCATTTTTGAATAAAAGTAAATGCTGGGGTTATGAATATGATTGCAAATGGGACAAACAATATTCTGTACCTGCTTGTCCTGGCGATCATAAAGGCTGGGTAAAAACCAAATTTGCTCAGCAGACGACTTTTTACACTCAAGCAGATTTTGGTTACATAAAACAGCAATTACGAGAAATGCGAGTGCTGTGTGAACCTTTGTTTCCCGATGACAGTTCCTTAGAATGCACAGAACATTTGCGGTTTTGCCGAGGAAGAAATATAATGTTAAATTTTACTAGGCTGATAAGTGTAGAAGAGCCAATTAGATACAAAATGGATGTTTTGCAAGAAGGAGATATTGGTGGTTACTGTGACTTTCACAAGGACAGATTGATTGAACAAGCTGATCATATAAGTCCTTTACAAAGTTGGGGACCTGAAATGAGGTATTTTACTAGACTTAATCGTAGACCTATAGTTGAAGGAGACTGTGATGTAGTTATAGAAAAACCGACTTTTATTATGAAGATAGATGCTAGTATGTATATTAAATTTTAATTGTTTATTTACTTATAATAATAATTGCAGAATTCTAGTATTAAAAAATATATAACTTAACTTTGAAACCAATTAACAAATATTTAACAGTATGCTTAGTAATGCTTCTTACTACTTTTCATATTGAATATATTGATTTTCAGCAGTAAATATGTATCATCATTTCTGTGACTTTTTAAATCTATATGCATCTTTACATTTAAATGCAACACAGGAAGATGCATTTTCTAAGGATGTGCATGTGTTAATATGGGAAACATTTACATACCGCTCAGCATTTGAAGAAACTTGGCAAGCTTTTACTGATCATTCCATATGGGACTTAAAGACATTTAGGGGTGACACAGTATGTTTTAAAAATGTAGTTTTTCCTTTATTGCCAAGAATGATATTTGGTTTGTATTATAATACTCCAATAATCTATGGCTGTGAAGGCAGTGGTTTATTTGATGCTTTCTCAAAGCATGTTTTGCATCGATTAGAAATACCATTCCATACACGCTATAATAAGAAAATCCACATCACTTTTCTATCGAGAGAAACTAAATACCGAAGAGTGTTAAATGAAGATGAACTTATAGATTCCTTGAAAGAGAATGAGGATTATGAGGTAATTAAAATTGTATATGATAGAAATATGCCATTTAAGAAACAACTGGAGATCTCAAGAAATTCAGATATATTTATAGGTATTCATGGAGCCGGTTTGACTCACTTACTCTTTCTACCAGAATGGGCAGTTGTTTTTGAATTGTAAGATATTCTGATATTTTTGTACAAGTATTTGAGCTTAAATATGTTCTAGGTACAACTGTGAAGATATGAACTGCTACCTTGATCTGGCTCGTTTAAGAGGGGTAAAATACATAACTTGGGAGGATGGAGATAAATTTACGTCCATAAAGGATGTATGTAATGTTTTTTATAATTTTAATTTTTTTTATCTGTTTATATTAGAAGGTATTGTAATTATACAAGCTTTGGACAGCAAATTTAAATTAAAAAATTTTATACAGGTTTTTCTAAAAATAAATGTAAAAATTTAGTTGATTCTACCCATAAAAATAATGGTGATTTATCTGTATCAAATTCAGTATGACACATTTCTTTCATAATAGTTTACTATTTGTAAAATATTTTATAAAATAAGTGTTTTTATTACATCACAAACAAGTTAAACCTAATAAAAACATATCGCTCATTTGCTGTAAGAATGTCATAATACAAAAATTGTAATTTTTTAAGTATTTACCTACGACCACTACTGTAAATACTTAAAAACACACCGTCTGCGATCAATGTAAGATTTCTATTACGTACGGTAAAAAAATCGCACAGCTTGGTAAAAAAATCATACAGTTTTCCTAGCAACCGCCTAGCAACGGTCAATACAATACTGTTTGTTGCTAAGCAGTTGCTAGGAAAACTGCGATTTTTTTACCAAGCTGTGCGATTTTTTTACCGTACGTAATAGGAATCTTACATTGATTGCAGACGGTGTGTTTTTAAGTATTTACAGTAGTGATCGTAGGTAAAGTATAGTACGTAATACGTGGTGTAATGCAATTACACACTCATAGAATTACCTTAATTAACTTTTCCATTCATGTGTAAAATGCTTTTTACAACACTTATTACGTAATATACTATTACATATTCCAGATCGTAAACAAAAGCCCTATTATCTAGTAGAGTGTTACATTTGCCAAAGCTGGGGATAAATAGTTGCTCGTTTAGTTTGTTCACAAAACTGATCCCTGAAGGAGACAAAGGTCTATCTGGTGCAACTTTGCCAAGTCTACTAAATCCTCATCTTTGTTTTCTGCAATGGTCCTCCCATGAAGTTCTTTCAAAGTATATAACACATCAAAAGCTAAAGTTTACTTAGGAGACATGAGTTTTTAAAAGGAAAGGGATGCATAGTCAAGGGCTTGTAGCTCCCTTAACATTTTCAGATGTTTTGTAGATTTTTTGAACTTAGTAACGAAATTTGGCAGGCTAAAGCAACACACCTGATTTGTTAACTCTTACATTTTTATATGATAGAACTTCTAAACTAATTTTTTAATACAATAAAAGGACCTTCCTTTTGTAAAAAAACATAAGATTTTGTGATAAAACTTGGAAAGAAGACATCCAAAACAAAATTGCAATCATTTTTTTACGCTTACCTGTTAATAAAATACTTACAGATCTCAAAAATTTTATTTAATAATTATTCCTACAGGTTTCGGAAATATTGAATAAAAACCTACCATAGTCCTATGTTTATTAGAACATCCTGTATACAATACTTAGAGTAGCATTATTAAAAGTAGAGATTTGCCTATTCTCATAAATTTTGAATTACTGTGAAGTTAATGGAGTCATTTTGACTTTTTATTATACTCTTGTAGCCATAACTTGGGATGCCATCTAAAAAACAAGCTTTGCATGTTTTTTTTTAGGAATCATACACTGGTGGAGCACATGCAAAATTTGCCAATTATTCCTTTGATGTCGAAGAATTTAAAAGATTAGTAGTGAAAGCCGCAAAACATGTAAAAAATCATCCAAAAGTCAAGAATATTGTATATGGTGTAAATGAAAGGCATCCCCATGATGAATTGTAATTATATTTTACATAGTTAAAATATTTAATCTCATTTTTACAATATTAACGTGATCTAATTTATACATTTCTTTAATGACATTTTTATACTAGACTTAATTTAAATTTTTATACTTGTAGAAATATTACATTTTTTAAATAAATAACTGAAATTGATTAATAATTTAATCTTAATTACACCTATTTAAAATCTGTTTTACATTTCGCCAATTTCTTACTAAATAATTTGATCAGTAATTTGTACCTCTAATGCAGATATTGTTGAAAATTAATTTTATTTTTTAGGATTTTTTGTGATTTAATTTTTATTACATAAAATATTTGATCATAATTTATTTTGAAAGTATTAACACTTTACTTCTAAGGCACATAGAGATTCTAATATATCGTATGTATATTCAAACATCAAAGTGAATTAAATATCTTTATCTTAATAAATAACTTTTTTGTCCAACAGTCACAAAATTATATTTTTTGACTGTCAGAAATCTCTAAGGTAGACATTTTCCTTACTGAAAAAAAAAAAAATGGGATCATTAACAAAATTATTCACTTATTTTAATCCTAGGAGCTAAAGTTGACACTTAATCCTTAGGTTAAAAGTGTTAATCAAGTTTTAATTTATACAAGCTTATTCAACAATATTTACAATAATTTTTGTGTATTCATTTATATTAAATACAAGTTTGAACAAGTATTAAAATTAAATAAACCACTGAAACTGCCACTACCCTCATTCTTCAGAAATGACAACGATGCTTGGTTTATCATTACCACTATCAACTTTCAGTAGCCTTACATTTTCTTTATTCAAAAGTGAGTCTTTAATGTAGCCTTGCGCCACAGTGCTTGATCTCCATCCTGCGTGTCTTTTAAGACAAGTGAGGTCACCATTGCTGTCAACTAAAAGGGTAGCAGATGTTTGTCGTAATGTGTGTCCACTGTACTCTTTCCAGTTTGTTGTCCAGTTTCAAAAATTTTGTCACTTCTTGCGAGATGGCACTTATTTTATGAATACCAACCACCATTCGATGACACTTTCCAGTAACATATCAGAAGTTCTAAGTACCAATCCAGGTGGACGTAAAGCAACATATTTCCGATAAAAACTTAAATAACTGTCTCCCAGCACAGTAAAAGAACGTGATGTCTTGGTTTTGGTATTGGGAATTTTTATAATTAAGGCAGATTTCACATCAACATTATCAATAATTGTTAAATTAACTAATTCATTAGAACGGTATGTGCCTGTAACCCCCAATATTAGGACGATCTATAAAGCTTTTTAAAAATTTTGTTGCTTTATTTTTAAAGTTTTTTCATCAATCGAATATACATTATCAGGTGCAATATTCAAAAAGCAATCAATTTACTCCTTTGTAAATATTCGTGATTTTTTGGGCACATATCCCTCATTCTGTTTCTTGAGAAAAGCACGTAACTTTGAATATTTGTTTATATCAATCTCCTTTATATCCAACGTTGGCTGCAACACTGAATATTGTAACCAAAGCGTTGATTTTATTATATTTGCTAAGTTTGAGAAATATACCATCAATATATCTTCCGAATACAACTTAATATTTTTTGCGTTGCACCAATCCATAAAGCGTTGAAAAATGCATTCATAAATTTCTTGAGATTTCTTTGGGAAAAGATTCAAAGAATCCTCTTTTGCAGACTCCAGTATCTTCTCAGGTACACCTAAATCTTCACTAGATTTCATTTTTACAGACGTTTCAGCAAATTGAATCACAAATGAACTCGATTAGCAACTAATTGATAGAGTAAGTATCCATGACTACATTATATATCCTACTTACTTCCTTTGCTTTTTTATCAAAATTTTGTTTGAATAATTTTAAAGCCCAAATTAATTAAATGGTTGAAGGAAAAATAGCATGTTTTATTCAATAACAATATATCATTACTATGAATGGGATTTATTATGAAAAAATCATAATTAACTAGCCTCCTAGAGATTTTTTAAGTATTACTATATTATCTTTTGAATGATTTTTAGTCTAAACTACATTTTGCCAATAAACTGATAAATTTTATTATAGCGTAAAATGGTACAACAAATATAGTAAATTGTGACAATTTCTTGGGTGAGGAATTGATAAATAAACAGGTTTAAATTTTCAGTTTATATTGTTTATTATATAGTAAAGTTACTATTAAACAATTAAGAAACATGTACGAAGTAAGAATTATCAAACTAAAGTTATCGGTTAAGGTTAAAGTGTTAAAAGTTAAATTAATTAAACCTGTAAATAAATTCCCCGTGAGAAAGAAAACCAATCCATTGTAATTAATAGCTTCAAATATTAATGGAGAGTATACACCTTCTACTCTATTCCTATAAAGAAATTCCAGTAACATTTGCGACAAATAATAAATCTCTGTCATGAATATCCCAATGAACAATATCCAAAAACAGTAAGCTGAATTAGCTAATTTTCTAGATATTCCAAAGTAATTTTGTAAAATTAAGGATATAAGTAGTGCCAATAATGCATACAGGAAGAATATTAGGCCTGTATACTTATTTTTTACTTGATTTATTTTATGTAAGGAATAACCAAAAGCAACAGAAAATAAATATATCGATACGTATCCAAGATTTGATACTACTCCTTCTTTATTAGCTGCAATAAAATTGTTTCTCTTCATGTTACTTAATACAAACTGTTGTAGACCTATGTGTAGCAATATTTCATGAGTTACTATTATAAAAACTGCACTTAAAAAGATGTGTTTTATTTTAGTAACATTCAAAACAAAGGCACAAAAAATTTTTGTTAATGCTAAGGTAATAAAAAAGTTCCAATGTATTCCATATTCAGAAACAGGAACATTGTAATCAGTTTGTTGTACAAAAATTAATCGGGCCATACCTAAGACAAAAAGTGGCAATGTTGATTTTATCGATTTTTTTAATGGAGCCCTTCGCTCCTTTGCTTCAGGTGCAACAATACCATTTGAATACATAAATAATCCAACTCCTACATCCATAAGGCTGTAACCAAATGATTCGGTTTTTGCAAAATCTCTAGGAAAAATTTTGAAATCTACAGCTAAAATAGCTGCGACAGATAGAACATTTATTGTTGATCTTGCGTTAGTTATAAAATTTGTTTTATATTTCTCATCGGTTACCAACGATTTGGTCGGTTTTATACTATAAATTACTAATGCCAAAGTAGTAACAACAACAGCTATTAAAGTAAAGAGAATGTTTATCAAATAATGAGATAATATAGTTATACTAAGTATAATTGGCAACACTAAAAAGATATACTCCATTATAAACAAATATTTTTTTTGCTTCGTAATATACGTTCTAAACATTGAATTTAACAGCACTGCGATAAATGTCATTAAGGATGAAGGGACAATTGCGATTAGAGTTTCATATGCTGTTGATCCACTGGAGTGCATTTGTTTCATGTGATGTTCTTTGTAATCCATTTTTCATTTCACTTGCCTAAAAAATATTTTCAATACTTTAAGGACATGTAATTAACAAAATATTACCAAATGGAAAAGGAAAAGAATAGGACACAAAGTCGATGAAACTTTTAGATAATTTGGTTGATTCTGTTTTTGTTTTTACGCAATTTATTTTTGCATATTTACAAGAGCATAATGGATTTACTTCTTGGTAGCATAACTTTATCGTCTATCTGAGATTGAGGTAACTGGAACTAGAACTTAGGAAACTTAATGTGTTTATGTCTTCTTTACGTCGTTTTGTGTCCTTTTAGATTTTGTATTTAAAATAAGTATTGTTTAACAATGTATTTGAAAGTATATTCTCAATTAGGTAATTTTTATATTGAATTATATTTTTCAGTTTAAAAATCATTCACTTAAAACCAACCTCAATTTTTGTTTTGATTCTGGTCCGGTAGGGTTTTTGATTTCTTACAGTGTTTACGTATAAATTTTGAAATTTTTCCCGCCCAACTACGTCGGCGAAAAACTAAATTAATTCCATCACTTCCTAAATTCACTTCTCGTGCATTTGTATTGTTTTCTTCGGAATTTTTGTTTTCAGGTTTTACACTGCTGCTACAAGGTGTATTATCGAAATTTGAGTCTGAGCAGCATTTTAAGTCGGAATGTATTTCATCCGGTTTTAAAAATGGATCCCACGAAGATAAAGGAACTAGGTATTCTTCGCCTTCACATGGCACATTGTGACCTACCAGGGTAGCTAAATTAACCAACGAAGGACTTTCTCCTAAATGAGAACCATCTCCTGGTATAGCTATATCATGCATATCCCATTTATTTTGTCTACTTTTAAGATTTATATCGTCACATCTAACTCGTACAACAGTTATTTCAGAATCCGTCTGTTTTAAGTTAGAGGTAGTATCTCTTTCATTTAAAATTACAGTATCATCAAAATTTACATTTTTGCTGAACGGAGTGCCAGTGGAACTTGAATAAATATATCTGAAATTCATTCCATTTGATTGTTTGTAAACATTGTATTGACCCAATAATTTTCGTGCATCGATTATATCCTCTATTTGCCGAAAGTTTTCATTTGTATTGTGATTTGGATCGAACATGATTACTTGAAATTTTTGTTTGAATTGGCCGCCAAGTGTCAAAATTGAAGAGAAACTGGCAGGGGACTAAAGATGGGCTAAACATTTGTGTTTCGTGAGCTAAATTCAAATTGCGCTTTTTCTAAGCGCGCCATTATTCCATGGCTAGAAATTGGCCTCAATGATTTGGGATCGAGGGGGATTATCCCTCTTTATCCTGCCACATCTCGTGTAGGCCTGGACAGCCATCGCAGGTGGGCCCCATTCGTCGTCTAGCCCGAGCGCAAATGCGGCATGCGGCCGGTGTAGGCGCTTTGAGGGACCTCCTTTTGTCCTGGCTGGGCCCCGTCGGCTAGGGCCCTTTCTTTTGGCGCTCTTCTTGCTTCGCCGGCTCGTCTGTGTAAACCCCGGGGGTGGTGTCATGTTTATGGTTGGGTAGGATGGTGCGGCTATGCAGCCTGGGATATGCTTTGCTAAGGTGGCCCTTAGGCTAGCGCGGGAAGGGAGAGGTAAGTTGTAAATGGGTAGTGTGTATGTGTGTGTCGTTGTCTTCGTTTCTTGATCCTGGCGGTCTCTGAAACAGAAAAGGTTAGCGGGCAGAGGGGCGATGTCGTTGGGGTAGTCACCCAGGGTCAAAAAGTTGGTGTCTAGGTCTTTTGTGTTTGTCGGTCACGTCGGGTACGTAGTCAACGGCTTGCCTGAGTAGGGGATGGTCATGTCTAGCGCGCGCCATTATTCCATGGCTAGAAATTGGCCTCAATGATTTGGGATCGAGGGGGATTATCCCTCTTTATCCTGCCTCATCTCGTGTAGGCCNTGGCCGCCAAGTGTCAAAATTGAAGAGAAACTGGCAGGGGACTAAAGATGGGCTAAACATTTGTGTTTCGTGAGCTAAATTCAAATTGCGCTTTTTCTAAGCGCGCCATTATTCCATGGCTAGAAATTGGCCTCAATGATTTGGGATCGAGGGGGATTATTCCTCTTTATCCTGCCACATCGCGTGTAGGCCTGGACAGCCTTCGCAGGTGGGCCCCATTCGTCGTCTAGCCCGACCGCAAATGCGGAATGCGGCCGGTGTAGGCGCTTTGTGGGACCTCCTTTTGTCCTGGCTGCGCCCCGCCGGCTAGGGCCCTTTCTTCTGGCGCTCTTCTTGCTTCGCCGGCTCGTCTGTGTAAACCCCGGGGGTGGTGTCATGTTTATGGTTGGGTAGGATAATGCGGCTATGCAGCATGGGATACGCTTTACTAAGGTGGCCCTTAGGCTAGCGCGGGAAGGGAGAGGTAAGTTGTAAATGGGTAGGGGGTGTGTATGTGTGTGTGAGTGTGTGTCGTTGTCTTCGTTTCTTGATCCTGTAGGTCTCTGAAACAAAAAAGGTTAGCGGGCAGAGGGGGGGATGTCGTTGGGGTAGTCACCCAGGGTCAAAAAGTTGGTGTCTAGGTCTTTTATGTTTGTCGGTCACGTCGGGTACGTAGTCGCAGCCATTATTCTATGGCTAGAAGTTGGCCTCTATGATTTGGGATCGAGGGGGATTATCCCTCTTTATCCTGCCTCATCTCGTGTAGGCCTGGACAGCCTTCGTAGGTGGGCCCCATCC